TCGGGTAAAATCAACACTTCATGGAATAAATTTAATAATTTTTTTACATAAATGTAAACACATTAAACACATGTATTGATGAGAGTTTGAACCGCTGACCTGGCTCATAACAAAAAAATTTTAGACCGGGTCAAACATAACCTTACTATAAAGTCCACTTATATAAACATTAAGCCAATATACAATTAGACTGGAAGGACGGCAGCACTTGGACTACACTAAGATCTCCTATTGTATAGGTTTTGTTGTTATTCTTAGACCAACACTCGTTATTCACGGCTGCCTTTTCAACGCACTTATAGTTTGTGCGCCACTTATAGACACTCATAACGATGATGGAGGCAAAGATGAGGGCACCGCCGATAAAACTGGTCACCAGTATTTTCTCATTCAGTATTGTGACCGAAAAAATAAAACTGATGACAACACTGAGTGCCCGGACAACGGCAACGGGACCCGCGTTTTGCAACTTAAATGCCAGAGTTTGAACAGCTGGTCAAACGCACCGCATAGGCCTAGAAATATGTATAGACGTAGAGTAACTTAGTATAGCACAAACATGGTAATTCATGGACAAACGTACCGGTTATTGCAATGATGAGCCATACGGTGCCAGTGGAGGGCCACTTGTACTCGTCGAGCACATACAGGGAGATCAGTCCCAGGCATACCGTTTCCAACGAGAACCAGAATATGACTACCGGTGCCGGAGTTTTCTGCAACTTTTGCATTATTGTCATTGATATGTTAAGTATTAATAACTTTGAATTTTTAAAAATATTTAATTTAAAAGTAATTTAATTAAATTTTATAATTAAATCTTCAATATTATTTTTATTATTGTTATAACTTATTATGAAACTTTTTATTCTATTATTATTCTGTTATTTTATTCTTAATTAGACGATTGTTATTTGTATTGTATAATTTGTTTAATTCGCTATCTATCAGTGTCCATAACTATCTTAAATTTTCACTAACTTAAATTTTAATCTCTAACTTTTAAATTTCTACTTGTATATAACTTTTGAATTTTCATTAATTTATTTATTATCAATAAACTTTTACTATCTTATCTTTCATTTTCTACTTTACATATCTTATCAAACTGTTATCACTTCATTACATTCTATGTTTTTTATGTGTTTGTGGGGTGTATTGTGTGTTACAATTTTTGTAAGAATTTGTATTTCTAATTATTTTATACATTATTTTAAACTAATTCAATAATAAGAGGATGAGAGTCGGCACGAGTGGATGGCTTACGAATCGATGAGCGGCGGCTGCCTTTCGATGAGTGAACGGCAGAGCCGGTCTTTCAGAAACTTTGTGGTCATACGGCTCTCACATCAATATGATTTAATAATAAATATTTAATTGACAGTAATTTAATTAAAATTTGTAATTAAATGTTCAATATTATCGTATTTGTAAAACGCATTTATTTCTAATTAGATATCACAACCTGTTGTTGAATCTTACGTGTATTGTATAATCTGTAGTGTTAAACAAAAATGCTAAAATTATTATTATTAATAGTATTGATGCAAATGATTGTGCTGTCGTATGGCTTTTTAAACCAAGATGTAATAATTGGTCCGGTGAAACAAATTGCTGCGAAACAAATATCTGGTGCAGTGAAACAATTGGCTAATACTACCACATTAATTACAAATTTAACTCAATTTTCACCACTTTCAATTATTAAGTCTTTCAACCTAACGTCAGTGTTGCCGGAATCCAATTCAATATACGATAAGACTAATAAACAATTTGTGCCCGAATACTATCCCTCGGAGTTTTTTGCCACCGGATATACAAATCTCGTCGGGTTCTCGAAATCTGGTCAACCCGTTTACGGCTTAGTGGGCCGTTGTATGCGTTTGACTTATAACAATGCTCTCGATAGATTGTACAGGCAATTTATTGTGCACATACTCGCTGAATTTATGCGCAAAAATAAAAATGGCCTGTTGTATCTCACTTTCAGGAATATAAAACTTGAAAATGTTATATTATGTAAGCATGATTAAATACAATCACATACGTATATTGTAATGCAATTAATTTACATATATTTATATACTCATATATTAATTTTGTTTCAAACATAACAGCGTCTTATTACGATTTAGCAATTATGGGTAATAAACAATTTAGAGATCAATCAGGCATTATATACAATGAGGATGAATTATTTTTAACCATAATCAATTTTGGTCTCCAATTCGTTAACAATAATATTCGTAATAAAGCCATAATCAAGGATATAGCGGACGAAGAGTTTCTAAATCTGGATGAGGTGCCGGTCTATGCGGGCGGAAGAAACACCAGTCATCACAGAATACCAGCTGTGGTTAAAAGTGGCACATGTTTACCACATCTCAATATATCCAGAAGTGAATGGAATTTGTTTATTAAGACTAATATTAAGTGTATTGAAGAGGGGAGACGTGAGAGTGGAGATCAACCTCTTGATAAGTATCTTAAGACTTGTCCAACCGAACCAAACCAAAACAAACAAAAACCAAAACAAACAAAAACAAAAACCAAAACAAACAAAAACCAAACAAACTCAAAACCAAAACAAACAAAAACCAAAACAAACAAAAAACCAAAACAACCCCAAAACCAAAACAACCCCAAAACTAAAACAAACAAAAACCAAAACAATCCCAAAACCAAAACAAACCCAAATCCAAAACAAACCCAAATCCAAAACAAACCCAAATCCAAAACAAACAACAACCAAACTCACAAACTAAACCAAAACTAAACCAACTCCAAAACTAAATCCAAAGCTAAATCTCAAAATTATAATTTTTTAATTATTATTACTAATACAGAATGATTGTTAAGTTATTCGAAAAAGGAGATATCAAAGAGTAATATTCACTTAGAACCACCTTTATCGAATCGCTGGATTTAACACAGCCTGTTAACAAACTATGACAATTTTTGTATGTAAACCTATGTGATTGAAAAATAATTGTAAATTTAGGTATAGTTAATTATATTTTTAAATAGTACATTAAATGCTGATAATGTTTGTAAAAAGAATTTTTGAAAAATTTCATTCTATCATCAAAATATCTTAAATTGTAAAATTAAGTTTTAGCCATAAAAATCCAAAAAACTAAAAATTTTAATTTACGGTATTTTGGCTATAGAATGAAATTTTTTTAAAATTTTTTTTACTAACATTATCAGCATTTAATGTACTATTTAGAAATATAATTGACTATATTACAATCTAATTTTTATTTTTAGTCTCATAAGTCTCATAAGGATAACATGCAAAAGTTCCCATAGTTTATTAACCTGCTGTGTTAACTCCTGCAACCCAATGATGGTGGTTTTATATTATTATTACACTGTGACATCTCCACTTGAGAATAGCACACCCGCCCCCTTCGACCCCCTTTACAACTGGGATAAAAACATTACATTTCAAAATAACCCAAAAATTTCTATGTTTTAGTCACGTGATTTTAATAAATTTTGTATACAAAAATACTAGATATATGGGACATCATTATGCACTTTACAGATTTGATCTAGCTTATTTTGTTTAGGAGATATAGCCGTTTCCAAGGGACAGGTTTTATTGAACGACTGGATACTTTGTATTTTAAACAAATATTTATGATTTTTTATATTAACACTAATTTTGTTGTATTAAAATAAATGATTTATTTTAAAATATAAGTACAATGCTCATTAAATTTATAAATAACAAAATAGTTATTAATGTTTACACAAAATTATAAACAAAATACAGTAGACATTCGGTTTGACATTTTTTCTCAACTGTTAAAAATATGTTTTATCAAATTCATCGAATTCTGTTAAAATCGAGCTACTTCACAATTTGATGGCTACACTGGGCTTGAAATGGGGTCCCACACGAAAGTGGGTGAACCTGACGGTGCGGTCGGTGTTTGACAACGGAGGGGACCTAAAGAGACCCCAATCTATAACCTGTGTTTTGGGCTAATAATAGCGTTAATTATAAATACATTGATGCAAATGATTGCGCCGTCGGATGGGTTTTTAAACCAACATGTAATACTTGGTCCGGTGAAACAAAGTGCTGCGAAACAAATAGTTGGTGCAGTGAAACAATTGGCTAATACTACCACATTAATTACAAATTTAACTCAATTTTTACAACTTTCAATTATTAAGTCTTTCAACCCATTGTCAGTATTGCCGGAATCTAATTTAATATACAATGAGATTAATCATCCATTTGTGCCCGAATACTACCCCTCGGAGTTTTTTGCCACCGGATATATAAATCAGTTCGGGGTCTCGAAATCGGGTCAACCCGTTTACGGCCAAGTGGGCCGTTGTATGCGTTTGACTAATAACAATGCTCTTAATAAATTGTACAGGCAATTTATTGTGCACGCAATGGCTGAATTTCTACGCAAAAATAAAAATGGCTTTTTGTATTACAATTCACTGAATATGACATTGGAAAATTTTATATTATGTGAGCATGAGTAAACACGATTACATAAATTTACAATATATAATAATGAAATTAATTCTCTTATTTATTAATTTTGCCTTAAACATAATAGCTTCTTATTACGATATAGCTGTTATGAATAATAAACCTGGTGGTTTTAAAGATCATTTTGGCGTTTTATACGCCCAAAATGAAGTATTGCAACCTATTTTCGATTTTGCATTAATATTCTTTAACGACAATATTCGTGATCGAAGCCAACCCAAGAATATGGCGGACGAAGAGTTGCTAAGTCTGGATAGGGTGACCAACCGTCCCGGTTTGGCCGGGACAGTTTCTGTTTTGACCATTTTGTCCCGGCGGGGTTTTCACAGATACCATTGAGCGTCCCGGGGAAAATTCGATTTAACTAAAAAGTACCTAAGTAAATTATGAAATGTTTTGTAATGTCCCGGAATTTTCTATAATTTTCTATATTTTTTATGAAATGTCCCGGTTTTGAAAATTTTGAGTTGGTCACCCTAAGTCTGGATGAGGTGCCGGTCTATACGGGCGGAAGAAACACGAGTTATCACAGAATACCAGCTCTGGTTAAAAGTGGTACATGTTTACCACATCTCAATATATCCAGAAGTGAATGGAATTTGTTTATTGAGACAAATAGAGAGTGTATTGAAGAGGGGAGACGTGAGAGTGGGGGTCAACCTATCAATAAGTATCTAAAGACTTGTCCAACCGAACCAAAACCAGATCTAAAGCCAAAACAAACTACAACCAAACAAAATCCAAAACTCAAACCAAAACCCAATTTAAAACTCAAACCAAAACCCAATCCAAAACCAAACCCAAAACCCAATCCAAACCCAAAACCCAATCCAAAACCCAATCCAAATCCCAACCCAAAACCCAATCGCAATGTGCGGAGCAAATAGTTCTACCTGACGGGCCATATATGACGGATATATACGATAAGACTGAACGGATGGCAGCACTTGGACTACACTAAGCTCTCCTATTGTATAGGTTTTGTTGTTATTCTCAGCACAACACTCGTCACCTACGGGTGCCTTTTCATCGCACTTATAGTCTGTGTTGCTATACACCCATGTACTGAAACTCAATATAGTGGACTACAACTAATGAACAATGTAATAGTTAGTGTACTTCATATATGGCACAGTTTCAAAATAAACAGTACTGTGCCTAGCGTCTAATTAATTATGGTGAATTATGGCACAGTCAGCCTTCCGCACT